CCTTTTTTATTTCCCTTCCCCCTGTTTTTTCTCGCCATTCCGAGTCGCCCCCTTATCTCTCACACTACCGACGTCTCTACACACACCGCCTCTGGGTGACCCCGACAGCGTTGTTAAGAGTGGTGGGAGATGAGCTCTAGTGCCGCGTACACTGCGCACGGCTCCACAATATCACAAAGTTTAATCTTCGCCTCAATTCCGAAGCGAAGATCTGGGTCTCAAATAACTCCGTCCCAAAGTTGTGAAACGTCCCTCTGTCGTCACCAGTAACTTCCTCAAAACGACGATTTCGCGATGAGAAAATTTAGAGCATTCAAAACCCGCCTAAGGACAATTTCGACAGCATTGACTTTAACGCGGCGTTCTGATGAGGGACACGCAAGCACGACATCATCAGTACAGCCGCTCAGTCGCCTGGCCCCACGGTGCTGCTAGCGCGCGCTTCGATGAAGCTCGCTACGACTTTGTGATTCACAATCTCTCGGGAATTCGAGCACAGAGAATTTGGGATGATTGGCATCTCGTCCCGCGGGACGCCATCGTCGCGAGAGTCCAATCAGCACACTCTGAGAACGTCAACCCCAACTTTGTGTTTGGCGAGTTACCCAGTACGCCTCAGGGCAAAGTCCTAAACATTCCAACCCGATATCGTTTTATGACCCCCTTAACCATCAATTCCCCGAGCGAACGCCAAAAGAACCTATAGATGCACGAGAGATATGTTCAGATGTTTCGAACATTCTCGTAAGCCAACTTGTCTTCTCCAAGACATTAAATCGTACATCAGAAGGCCATCGCTAAGTCTCCAACTTTGTTGTCCCTGTAGCATTGATGCCTTCTAGCACTGGTGGCAGAAGCAAGCTCGACAAGTTTCCAAAGACGGAGCGACCGGAAGTCGCTTGAAACGCAAGACGCGGTTCATGTTTGTAAACAGTAAAAGGGTCTACGAACTGAGCACAGAAAGAATAAAACAAAGTCGGTACAAAAACGACAAACATTTCTTTCAATTAAAAAAAAAAAAAAAAAAAAAAAAAAACTTTTCGTCGTCTTTTGTCCCGATTTTGCTTTATTCGTTCTGTTGCCAGTTAATTTGAGTTTATAGAAGCGAAGATAGGTTTTTGTATTTAAGCGCAAAATAATTGCTTCCCCGTTATCTTCGGAAAATACTCTAAAAAGTATCACCGTTGAAAAGAACCTACCCATGTAACAAATATGGCACCATGACAGAACAGCACACGACAAAACAGCACGCGACAAAACAGCACGGTCAAAACAGCACGCGTCAAAACAGCACAGCGTCAAAACAGCACGACGACAAAACAGCATGCGTCAAAATAGCACGCGACAAAACAGCACAGCGTCAAAACGGCACAGCGACAGAAGAGCACGTGCCAAAACAGCACGGCGTCGAAACAGCACAGCGTCAGAACAGCACAGCGTCAAAATAGGACATTAAAAATACAGCTAGGGTTGGGCGTTTTCGGTTTTTATTATTTTGAAACTCGGCGTACATCTGTCGGTTTTTATTACAAGCAGAAGTTTTCGGTTGAGTGCTAAAAATATTTGTGGACGGATAAACTTTTCAGTTCTTTTCGGTTTATTGACGAAAACCAGTATGCTGACGAAAATGCAATATTTAAAGGCGTTTGTTTAAAATGAATAGTAAGTAAACCAGGTACTTGATTTCTTATTTGTCGCTGTCTGTGGCAGCCGACGCGACCTGTTCTGCAAGACACAATGGGGCGCTATCATGATCTGATATCATCTTCGTGGGCTTTACACCATAACATGATTTTTACTACCACTTCGGTCGGAGAGGCGAATATCAAAATCTAAAAATTGGCAAGCATTGTACTCAGTGCGTCTTTCCCCCATTTTCACGACTGCGAGAGGTGGTTAATTCGCGCAGACCAAGAAACGACCATAATGCAAGCGTATTTATGCCCTCCTCTAGTAGACGGTAGCTAGGGGTGTTAAAAAATGTGCGGCATTTACGGATGCCCTTTAATTTCATTGTACAGTCCACGATTAAACTCTCTTCTTTGAACAAAGAATTCGGCACACAAATTCCTATCAGGTGAAAAACCCAGATTTCGTCATGAAGACCATTACGTCGGTTCAACTTTTGTTGAAAGTTGAACCGATCTCGGAGACAAGCTGAAAACTGCGAAAGGAGGTGGTCATACGGTCAGTAATGAGGCACATTTCCCCACCCACCCCTCCAAACGCCCTTGAAAATACTGACCTTTTTCAGTTAAATCCGAATTTGTAAAAAATATTTCGTCGTACTTTTACCGGTTTTATCAAATTAAACCGAAAATGCTGAACCCTAAATAGAGCCTATGGAGTTAAAAAAATGCATGTCTCAAAGAAGGCACTGTAAAGGAGTGGAGGGTCTTGGCCAATTCCTCCAAGGTCAACTCGTCGACGGCCAATATGTCGAATCCGTTCTCATGGGAGCAAGTTGGGAGCGGGGAGTATACTCGATGCGCACATGAAGGCTCCGTGGGCAGTACCGAAGCCTCCGCTGGTGCGTATTATGGCTCTTTCTCGAGCAGTTTGCTGGGTATGTCGTCTACAATAAATAAATAAATCGCACGGCAACGTGTTGTTGTTAGTTGTTAAAAGAAAAAAAAAAGAAGTGTGTGCGACAACGGTGTGCTTAGCGTTAGCCCATGCTGTACGGCAACAGCATTGAGGCTATGGCATGTTTCTGCTTCACCGGTTTCCACTCGATCGAGGCCCTTCGTCGGCAATAATCTGTGAATTTAACCCAAAACAACTTCTCGCCTGCAAGCTGCAGCTGCGTGTTTCCGGGAAATTTTGTTCATGACGAATGAACCCCACAGAATCCGTGCCCATGGTACATCTTGAATTCGCTCGACATTAAGTTGCCTTATCTTCCCGGTTCTATCAATTCATCTGTAATCGGCGCATCTCCCGCTTTTATTCTTTTTTTTTTTTTTTTTTTTTTTAGGGGGGGGGGGGGGGGGGGGACGTTTTACGCTTAGGTGGTAATTACGAAACGACGAGTACCCTCACCGGACCGCCGAAAACCAGACGGTTCATAACTTGAACTTATGGATTTCTTTTTTCCAATAACTTTTCCTCTTTCGCTGGATCTAAAAAAAAAAAAAAAAAAAAAAAAAGACCTGACAACGCGTAAACATCGACGCGAAGATATCACCTCTAACTACTCAATCTCTTCAGACATCGGCGCAGTTAAGTAGTAGTAACTACTGCTAACTTCGTTTGTTTTTAGAAATCACAC